AGCACAGGCAAAGGGAAGAAGTCTCATTACTATTTCCTTGGTGATAGTCCCTGTGGGCAAAATTCATCTGACAGTTCTTAAGAAGCTCATTATTTTCCAGACTACTTTAGGAAGACCCCTACATGGGATGAACCCCCCCAGATCAGGGGGCTCCCTCAGCTCTGCAGAAGCACAGGAGAAGGGATTGTGGGGGGCTGTGATTTTTCATGACCTAGAGATAGTTCTTAGAACCACAGGGCTGATGGGATTTGAGGTCTTATCACACCCCAAGGCCAAGCTGATGCACTTGCCAAACAGAAATCCCACAGCTGAGAGCCTCACTTACTCTTCTCACACCCTGGGTTTTGGCCTTCATTGCACCAGCAGCACATCCCCTCCCCAACCAGGATGACATTCCTGCATCAGACCTGGGGTTTGAAGAGTGCTGTATCAGGACTTGCTCTATGAACACTTGCTCATTTTTATTTGACTTGACCTTCAAGAGAATTTTTCTCCATTTATCTAACCAACCCTAAAAGGAAAGAACACAGATTTGGAGTCTCCCTTTTCCTCCCCCCAGTGGGTAAGCAGGGATGGCAGACAATGACTTCTCTCCCTGTTCAGGAAAACAGGTGTCTAGCAGGCAGATCTTGAGATTAGAGACTCCTGCGCTGGCAGGCAGACAAAAGATCAGACTCTGCCAACACTGGCGTTTGTAGAGCCAGGTCTGCTTCTGGTAAGGAAATGGCCTCTTTCCAGGCTGGGAGGTCTGAGTCTGTTTTCAGTGTCCTTTAGCATCACTTTCTGCTTCATGGCAGTGCTCCCCATTGCTATGAAGAGAATTCAAATAGGAAGAGAATTCAAATAGGAAGAGAATTTGGGAGGATTTAGGCGCTTGGTGTGAAGGGTTTCAATCTCATTGTCCTTTTTTAATCCTCCCCCCAAATGGCACAAGCCATAGCACTGGGGGTCCGAGGATGCATGGGCCTGGGTGGGCTTGGGACCCACACCTATGGGTGAGAGGTGGTATTTGAAGGCAGTTCTTTCTGGGCCCAAGGTGGGTGCACTCACCCTGTTCCCTGCTGCCAGACCGGCAGGTAGTTGCTGCAAGGCAGACAGTCGTGGAACCATCCAAGGCCGCTGCTGGAAGCGTGGCCCCTCAGATGAGGTTCCCACCTCCAAGGAAGTTACCCAGAATGATTACAAAGTGGTTCAAACTAGTGTAGACTCCTGTTCCAGACTGCAGTGTGGTGGGCCATGCCCAGGAGGAGCCCTGGGTGTGAAGTCACAAGGAGAGGAAAACACCTGGGCCTTTCCGAAATTCTCCTGCCCTTGGTTTGATGTCAGCTAGTGTGAAAATCACCCAGGTGAACACTCAGGCTTCCTGTGCCTTGTTATGTACAGACACTCACATGTTAGGGAGCCCTAAGGTTGCTGGGTTTCCGAGTAGAATGAGCAGAGGGCCCCAGAGGCCCCAGCCCTGGCCTGCCTTCCTTTCCCCTGTTGTGGGGGACAGCAGGCCCCGTCCTCTGGCTCTTCCCCCTCTTGGTGGCTGCAGTAGTTCCATTCCTGCCAGCAGCCTGCTATCTCCCTGCCTGGGAAGGCAGGCACAGCACCCCATTTCCTGCAGGAGGTGACAAGGCCCTGCAATGCCCCGGCTTTATCAGCGTGGGCTCTGCTGTGCCCTGGCTGTGAGGGGCTGTCTCTGGGGTTAGGGCCTCAGGCACTGTGCAGTTTTCTGGAGCTGATGCACATGCTGTGTTTTTGGTACAAGGGCCACTCCTCACCAGTTCTCTGTCCTGGAACCTGGTGTCCTGTCACACTCTGATTCCATTGAGTAACAGCCGCTTGACTCTGTGGCCACCTTCCCAGGTGGCTTGCCAGCTTGGCAAATGCTTAAGCAGCCCTTATGGGAATTCCAGACAGGTATAGGCATGTGCTGGGGTCTTGTTTTGTATAAGTGGATTTGGAGACACTTCTGCTAGCAGCACCAACATTGATAAGGCCGTTACACTGAAATGGCTTTTGGCTTTAACATCATTTATATCTGGGCTCTCTATTTTGTTCCATTGATCTATGGTTCTGTTCTTATGCTAGTCCCAAATTGTCTTGATTGCTGTGGCTTTGTAGTAGAGCTTGAAGTCAGGGAGTGTAGTCCTCCCAGCTTTGTTCTTCTTTCTCAGGATGGCGTTGGCTATTCAGGGTCTTTTGTGGTTCCATATGAATTTTAGAACTATTTGTTCTAGTTTGTTGAAGAATGCTGTTGATATTTTGATAGGGATTGCATTGAATCTGTAAATTGCTTGGAGCAGGATGGCCATTTTGGCAGTATTAATTCTTCCTATCCAAGAGCATGGGATAGATTTCCACTTATTGGTGTCTTCTTTAATTTCTCTCATGAGTGTCTTACAGTTTTCAGAGTACAGGCCTTTCACCTCCTTGGTTAGGTTTATTCCTAGGTATTTTATTCTTTTCAATGCAGTTGTAAATGGAGTTGTTTTCCTGATTTCTCTTTCTGTTAGTTTGTTGTTACTATATAGGAATGCAACAGATTTCTGTGTATTAATTTTGTATCCTGAAACTTTACTGAATCTAGTTATTAGTTCTAATAGTTTTTTGGTGAAGTCTTTATTTAGGGTTTTCCATGTATAATATCATATTATCTGCAAAGAATGACAGTTTAACTTCTTCCTTACCAATTTGGATGCCTTTATCTCTTTGCGTTGTCTGATTGCTGAGGCTAGGACGTCCAGTACAATGGCTCTATGTATAATACTTCCCAAGCAGCATGTTTTCCCACATCCTTGAATATTTTAACATCAGACTTTTAAATTTTTGTCACTGGGTTGTGTGTAAAACGAGATCCTCTGATCATTTTCTCTCCTAAGGCCCCAGTACTTCCAGAATGTTCACCTACAGCCCCCGTCACACAAAAAGGGGATGAATCAAGCATGGAGGATTTGGCTGGCTTCCCTTCCTCTGACCTTTAGTACTGGGAGCTGGGAGGTGCAGAGCTATTTGAGGAGACCCCTTCTCCATGTGCACTCCCTTAAGATAATCTCTCCAATCACAAGGCTTTGGAATACTAACACATAGGCCAGTGATGATATATAGATATCTCCACACTGAATGTCAAGACCTGCTTACTAAATGTATTTGATGGCCAATCAGAAAGGCCATTAGGACTTAACCTGCCCAATGTCCCCACTTGATTTCTTCCTCAAGCCTAATCGTTTCCCTTATCAGTGAAGAGCACTGCTATCTAACTGCTTAGCCCTAACGTAGGAGTTGTCCTTGGTTCTTGTCTGCCCCCCATTAAGTCCATCAACTTCTGTCAATTCCTGTATGGAATTGTTCCTGGATTCCCCCTTCTAATTCCACTGCTCCCACCTTAGTCCAAGCTACCATCATCTCTTTTCTAGACCACTGCAGTTTCCTCCTAACTGGTCTTACTGCTCCCCTTGCCCTCACAAACCATCTCTAGCAAGCAGCCAATGTGATCTTTTTAGAACAGAAAACAAATAAAATATGTTTCTCCTACTAAAGTCCCTGGATGCTTCTTAGTGTATTTAACTCAAATTCATGGATACTGTGATCTAGAATGCTGACAAAGTCTGTTCCCTGCCTGCTTCTCCTGCCACATACCTCCCCAGTCTCTGGGACTTGTTCTATATGGAGGGGCTCTTCCCTTGATGCTTTCACGCCCCCCTTGTCATTCAGGGCTCTGTCACTTCCCCAAAGACCTGCCCTGACAATCACACCCTGGTTAGAGTGGTCCCTTGGCTGCTCCCTACAGCAGCATTCCATTCTGTTTTCATTCTGGCCCTTCTCTATACCCGGTCCCTAGATCTGTGATCCACCAGAATGCCATCTCCACAGAAGATGTCAGTCACACTGTCCTTGCTGTGTCTTGCTGGTGCCCACAAAGGTTTGTTGAATTAGTGAATGATGGGGTCAACATTGTAGAACAGCCTATAAGCTCAAATGAAGTTTCTTTAGAGTCTGGGTGGGATGAAAGCTTCTTAAGGCAAGACAACACTTGTCCTTTGGACAGCAATTCTCAAACTTTAGTCCTAGGACCCCTTTACACTTACTAAAAATTATTAAAGAACCCAAAGAACTTGTGTTATGTGGATTATATGTAGAGTTACTTGCTGCATTAGAAATTAAAATGAAGAAATTTTTCAAGTATTTATGTCAAAACAATGATACCTATTGACATAAATAACACTGGCATGAAAAATAACTACATTAAAAAATATTCATAAGCAGTAGCCCATTTGGAGAACAGCTGCCCTATATACAATGTGCCTAAATTAGCATGAGGAAAGATTATGTTGAATGATTGAATAGTGGGCTCAAGAATTTAGACCAGCCCTCGGGAGGAGATGTAACCTCTTCCCAGGTATGTAGGAAGGGATACAAGGCCATTCAAGCCTTCTGCAAGGTCAGGGCACGTTTCCCCCTCTATGTCTGGATGATTCATCCACCCATTTGCTCACCCACTCCCAGCACCACACAGCCCACTCATCTCTTAACACTAAGTCTTCTCAGGTCAAAAAAAAAATTTTTAAGCAAAGAATAGGATAAGTATGTTTAATATATTTGGAAATTAATTTGTAAGCTGTATATGTCTTTTAAATGTGCTATGTCTGTAACCAGAATAATGATTACATAAATTTTAAAACAGGGAATTCCTTTTGAGTCTTTACTTTGACAAAATGAATGTTGAGGCCTGGTTTTACCGTAATTTGTTTATTCCTCTTTGTGTTCATGTTGAGAAACCAACTGGGTGTCATATTTGTTTCTTAGGGCAATAGTGAAACCTAAGTTCTTCCTCTTTCTAAGAAGATGCTCCCTCCCTCTCTGTTTCTTTCCTCTGAGTAGAGGAAATTCACAGAGCCAGAATTAAAAAAAAAAAAGAAGTGGTCATCTCTGTGCTCCTATGGAAGTGCTGAAGCTCCTGGCTCGGGACACGCCTTTTCCACTGCTGATGTCACACTCTTTTTGTCTTTGAATAGCTCATTGACACAATCGCCTCGGAGATTGGAGAGCTGAAGCAGGAGATGGTGCAGACCAATGTCAGCCTGGAAAATGGCCTGGAACCCTCGGAAGCCCTCAGGTGACAGAGGCGACTAGGCGCTGGGTGTGAAATGGGAACTGTATAGACACTATTAGCTAGAGGACTGCCATTCCAGTTGCTCCTCAGAAGTTTGGGACCTGGGAGTGTCGTGGCCGGTCCAGATGAAGCTCTGTAGGAGGTGGGAGTGGCCTAGAAACCAGTTGTCAGCTTGTTTATTTTAATCACTTTGAAGGCACTTGAACTGTACACTCTCTCAATTCCTCCTGGCAGCAGAACCCGGAAATCTAAAGTTTTATCTGCTTTATCCGCCTACTCACAGTGATGGAAAAGTAATGCAGAGGGATTGGATCGTCCGTGTGCAAAGTAGAATTCAGTGTAGCCGGTGTCAGTCTCCAAGAGGTTTAAAGGGGAGCACTAAAGAGGATGGACTCATTTTGCATTCTCAGGTCAGAGAAAACCCCTGGGCTTACCATAGTCATTAGCCTGAAATGCCCCTCAGTGTTTTGGAAATTGGATGTGTTTGTAAATGATTAGGAAAAGGGAGGCAGTATGCTGTAGTGGTTAAGCGTAGTATTTTGCACATGATCTGAGTAACTAGTAAGGGACTGGTCTTTATCTCGAGAATGTGGTGCAGAGGTCAGGGTGGAGTGGCAGGTGGAAGATGATGGCTAAAACCTCATCTAGTTCTTGAATGCTGTGATTCATCACAGCAAAGACAACCATGTAATCAATATAAAACAAAATGGACACTTGGTGCCTTGGAGGCCAGATGCATGATCAGCTTTCTCCTCTAGCCAGGAAAGGGGCTGAGGCTGCCTGCTTCAGTGTGAGATTCAGGGAGGGTGAGATTCATCGGATATGTTTTCCTTACAAATCATGAGATAGGCAGGAGTCCTGTAAAGGCAGGTGACCTAGGTGGTTCTGGGTGTCCAGGCAAGTTTCAAACCAGCCGGACTTGTTCCCTCCCACAGACTGAGAGGAAAGCACCAATCCCCAGGAGGCATTTTGCAGCTGGAAGGTGGTGCTTTAACTCCTATGTCTCTGGAGAAACTTTAACTGTGGACGTTCTATGTGCCTTCCATTTTCTTTCTTCTCTACCATGTGACAGGGGTAGACCAGATGGTCCCCAAGCCACTTGCCGCAGCACTCAAGCATTCCATGATTCTCTTTATTTTAGTGTAAACTGCTGTGATCGGTTAATTTTTTCCTCATAAACTAGACAAATGCACAATGAGTTTTGATTAGAAACTTCCTGCATTACTTTCAGAGTAGTTCCAAACTCCATGGAACTCTAGCCAGGGGATTTATCTTTACCCTTTGCATTATTGAACTAAAATTAAATTGAGAGTCCACGTTGGTGGCAAAAGAGTAAAGAGAGCTTCCGGATCTGATTTCTCCCACATCCAGGAAATGCAGCACTGCAAGATGAACCCCAGGCCCTGCAGATGACAGGGACAGAGGGCAGTAAGTGCCCTCCTAGCACACAGCCCCAGGGCCTGTTCGGTTTGCAGGAAGGAGCCATAACACACTGGGGGCTATTAAAATCTTGGTCTTTGACTGCAGTAGGTATTGGGTGGGAGAGCTGGGCTGTCATTTAACTTTTAACATCTCTTAATATTTTTCTTTTCAAGCTTAAGAATGACAAAGCATTCCCCAATAATATAATTTTTTTCAGATTAATGCCACTTATTCTTGAGTGTGATGTTGGTTACACTGCGTTTATGAAACTTCAGAGGCATTTTACTTGGTGCTTTTTTTTTAATGGGAAAGAAAGAGCAGAGGCAAGATTGGCTTTGTTTAACAGTGTATGTGGTGTTTACCGTGTGCCAGCCACTGTTCTCAGTGACACTGGCAATGGCAGTTGCCAGCTCATTGGATCTCCTAAGCACCCTATGAGGTAAAGCTGTGGTATGACCCTCACTCCACTGATGTGGGACCTGTATGACATGGGGTGGGACCTGTATGACATGGGGAAAAGCCAGATCTCTGAGGCCATGACTTCAGTGCTGGGGTCTCATGCTGATGTTTTACAGGTGTGGGCTGGTGACTTGGCTTTTAGCTCTTCCATTTTGCCCAGAGATGTCAGGAGAGCTGGGTAATGGTGTGGTAGGGGAAGGAGCTCTGTGTTGTTCCTGCACAGCTATGGCACAGCTATGGCCCCGGGGAAGTGGATCAGCCTGGCACAGAGCAGCCCAGAGGACCAATGAGAGCAACAGAGGCAGACAGTGGAATGGCCAAGCTGCCTCAGGTGGAGCCCGTGCAGAGAGCAGCAGGTATCCCACCCCATCCCAGGACTTTGGTGGGGCCCAGCTGGTGGCTACGCAGGTGCCTCCCTGTGGCCTTCCTCATGACTGTGAGCTGTGATGCAGCCTCACCAAGCCCAGCTGCAGGCACTGAGAAGGGTCTGTGGTTGCTGAGTTTCTTGAATGTCGGGTTAGGTGCCAAGCGGCCCCCTGAATTAGGAATGCTCTCCCCTAGCTCTGTTAGCTTTTGGTTGCTCCTCGTGGTTCATATTGAGATAAACTTGAGATGTTTAACCTTTCCTGTGTCATGGACCTCTTCTCAGAGTATTTTAAATGCATAAAATAAAATACGTAGGATGATATAGGGAAAACAATTATACAGAAATACGATGATCAGAATGTTTCAAATACATGTTTTTAAAACATCTTTATTCGAATTGAATAGCAAGGCCTAGCAGTGGATCTAGGAACTACTGTCATCTGGAAGCAAAGATGAGCATAAACAATGAAAACATCTGGGGCTTCTGTCAGTGACAGAGTCTCAGCTGCTGAGGGAACTACTGGGATTTGCTTCTGTGCACATAGGAGGAAGTTAATTTAAAGCAAGTCAGTGAAAGTGCAAGTGTTGCTTCCTCTGCCAATGGTCAGCTCCCACCTGCTGTCCTTGTAGCCTCGTCTGACCAGTCAGTCTACCCTCCCTCCTTCTAAAGAGCAAGACTGGAACGTTGGTCTCCCTTCACAAGCTTGCCTCTTACCTGGTTTCCCCAGTAACCGTGCCTCTCTTTCTCTCATAATTGCCCTCCCATCATCTCCAAAGCCTGGCAACTCTACCTTAACAATAGATCCAGGCTTGCACCACTTCTCACAGGCACTGCTGCAGCAGACCTCTGCCTGCCGCTTCTGCTTCACCCCTTCCATCTCGTCGGGGCTGTTACCGAAGCAGCATAGAGAATGACATGACTTGAGTTAACCTAAATGCAAATCCTGTCACTCCTGTTCAAAGCCCTCCAGTAGTTTTCCATTTAAAATCAAAATCCTCACCACAGCCTTTGAGACCCTGCAGGATCTGCTCCCTCACATCCCCTCAACCATCACTTCTCTTTCAGTCTCTCCTGTGCCATCCCTCTCCTCCAGCTCCACCCGCTCCTTGCTGAGCTGGCTGCGACCTTCAGCCTTTGTACTTACTGTCTCCTTGGCCAGGAATGCCCTTCCTCCAGGAAGCACTCAACCTGTGGACCCTTCCTTTCTTCTGTCAGCTTAACTGCCGTTAGTTTTCTTCACACAACTTGTACCTATCTGACACATGTGGTTGCTTGCTGCCTCCCAGCACTAGAGGGTCAGCTCTGAGAGCAGGGCTTTGGTCTGTGTTCAGTGCTGGCTTTTTAGCCCCCAAAACAGTCCCTGGCACATAGCATACACTTAAAATATTTGTTGAATGGACAAATGAAAGATACCAGCCCTTTGGAGGTTCTAAAAATATTCAAGCATCAGAAGTTTCTTGCAGAAGCAAGATGTCACTCCTGTCAAGCAATTAAGGGAGCCCAGCTGGCTAAAAAGGGACCAGAAACCTTTCCCTCTATGTTCCAGCCATGTTTCCTCTGGCAGGTCTGAGTTATGGGCTATTGTCAACATTTGCTGACAGAGTAGCAGCTGATTAAATCTACCCCATGCTCTCTGCTCATGTTTTACCAAAAAGAAGCTGAGAAGCCAGGGGCAGGATGATGGGTTTCTCATTGCTGCTCTAAATGCTGTTTCTTATTTCCTCCTTCTCCCCATTCCATCCCCCGATGAAGACTAGAGTATAGGGAAATAAAAGCTTTTTACTTTCCCCTTCCTCCCCTATGATTTCAGAGTCCATTTTCTGTTGGAGGAAGGATGTCTCTGGGCAGGCACACCAGGTCAGTAGTCAAAGCTCATCAACACCTGGACCCACCACCTTTAGGCTGAGACGAGTCAAAATATTCCTTTGTCCTCAGGTAGACCAGAGACATCCCACCGAACAACTTAATGAGCTGAGGTTCAGGTGGGTTTGCAGGATGCCTGAGGATGCTGGCTAGACTAGGTTATCAAAGGCTCTTGATGCCTTTGTTTCCTCTTACTCTCTTTTACCTCCCTCACTTCTGTTGTTACATTGTTACCTGCAGCCCAAGGGGGTCATTGGGTCCTGAAACTCCACCTTCCCTCAAGTCCCTTATCAGACACATGGAATTCAAAAATTCCTTGGCCAGCTCTGCCCAATGCTCCTGTGTAGTAGTTGGTAACCACTACTGGCCCTCTGGAAGGGTCTGTGTCCCCTGTGTCAGTTCTAAGCTCCCAGCAGTTATGCAACAGCACTAACATCAAAACCACAAGAAGCTCAGAGTGCTGGTCCTTGGTTCAACCCTTGGATTACTGGAGGTTAGAACGCAAATTAGAAGAAAAGATTGGCTTACAGTCTGGGGGAGAGAGGCCTGGCATTCTACTTCTGTGGGTCTCCAGTAGGACAGCAGAGACAATATTAGATGCCCTGCGGCCTTCTGAATGAAACCATTCTCACTGGTGCTGCTTTTTCCAATGACCTGAAACATGAAAAAACACACAGATAAATAAGTAGACAGATAGATAAATTCTCACAAAATAAACATACCACAACACAGCACCTGGCGCAAGAAACAGAACAGTGTCAGCACCCCTGAGGGCACCCTTCTAATCACTGTGCATCCTAAGAATAAACACCGTCCTGATTTCTGTTGCCAGATTAGTTTGCCTGTCTTTGAACTTCATGAAACTGGAATGATAAAGCATGTGCTCTTAGCT